AATTTTTCTAATAGAATTGTTCTTTTGATTTTGCTTATAGCAAAATATGGTATGGGGCAAGGATGAAACTTTCAAGTTTACCGATAAAAAAGTAATTACCAACACGGAATTAGAAGTCATCTTCTTACACAACCTCAACTCAACTACCAAACTAACTTCTACATAAGATATCAGATGCTAATTTCGACATCAGGAACCTTAACATTAGCAGCGAGGGCATCCAAATTCACATGCTTCAAGCCCTTCATTCTCTCAGCAAACAAGCCTGCCCTCACTGGATCATCATTCTCCTCAAAATATTTCAAAAACAACTTAACTGTCTCCTCTGTAGGAAAACAATCGCTCGTCCACAACTTTGCCATTTCCAGACCCTTCTCCAAATGCTTCAGGCCCGACTCCACATCACCATTTCTCACACACAGGGCCGCAAACAAGTCCAGCGTCCTCAAATGGGGCATTTTCTTCTTTTGAACCAAACTTGCATACAGATAATTCGCTTTATCCATCTTGTCCCGTTTCAGATAATACTCCAAGAGCACGTTCGGGACCTTGGGATCGAACCTGGACTTGCTCTCCTCCCACTCCTTGAAAATGTTCTCCAGGCTCTCCTGATCCCCGAGCTTCGCAAGACCCAGCAGCATGAAGACGTAGCATGTAGTGTTGGGCTTCGGGATATCCAACTTAAGGGCCCGCCAAGCCCGGAGCACGCCTTGCAGATCATTCATCTGAGAATACAGATTGATTCGGGTCTTGCAGGCCTCAATCAGATCCTTTTGTGGCCGGGCAAGCGTTTTTTCCATCCTGTCGAGATAAGCCTTTGCCTTCTCAAGCAAACCCGACTTGAAATAAATGGTGGCGAGATTCCCTAACGTGAACCAATCATCTGCAACGTTTTTGCTTTCCATTTTCTCGACAACACTGTCAATGGCGTCCAGATTCTTGAGGGCATCGTGGCTGTTGATCAGCATGTTGTAAGAGAAGGTGTCGAGAGGGACATTTCTCTCTTCCATATCTTGGACAAGGGATAAGAGGTTTTCATATTTCCCCATGGTGTAGTAGAGATGGAGCATGCTATTGTAGTTTATAGTCGTCACGAAGTTGAGTGATTTCATGAGGTCGAAAGTGTCGACTGCCTTGTCGACGAGCTTCTGCTTGCAGTAGCAGCCAAGGAGGGCCCCATAGGTTTTGCTGGTCTTTTCGGATTCTTGGAGGTTATTGAAGTAACTTTCCGCAGAGGTTATGCCCTCAGTTTTGCATAGGAGGTCAATGCGTGCGGCCTTGTCGACATTAGTTATTTCCATGTTGCGGTTTTCCATCCAGTTGTAGATCTGATGTGGTTGAATTAGGACACACAACATCGAAAAAAAAAAGCTATAAAGCATGTAAATATTACATATGACGGAAAAAGAGATACATATAGTTCATATACTGAATTTTGTGTGGAAGGCTGCTAACATTCTGGCCTCTAGTGAAGCGCAATACATTTAAAGAACCATATATATCAAATACAAACAAAAACCAATCCATTGCTAAAGAAGTAAGCCGAAAATCCTCTCAAACCTTCGATTACCGGACCAACTACACCCGATTGCACAATCTTTCGCTAACAAAGAATATGCAAAACCTATAAGAATTATCATCTGATAAACAGACAAGCATTTTTCCCAATAAACATCTCTAACAGCTACAGCATAAGATCTTAATCCATTTCGTTCCACAAAATCATGAACATTAAAGGGGCGAACTGGTTCTCGAAAAACAAGGGAACGAATCTACATAAAGAGCACACATTCAATACAATAAAATCAAAAAAGAAAAAAGGAAAAAAAAAAAAAAAACCTGAAGGGCGGCCTTGAAATTCTTGCGATAGCTGAAATAATCAGTAAGGTTAAGAATATCGGGTCTCCCGACCTCATTTCCTTGATTCACCCAATTATTGAGAACGTGTGGCACGCGCGACAAGTCGGACCTGGCCTTATTAACCACTTGATAGAAGAGATGGGTTCTCTTCTTACGCTGCGCCGCCGCCTCTGCCTCCGCCGTCGATTCCGCAGTCACTGCCTCCGCCGCCGATTCCGCAGTCACTGCCTCCGCCGCCAATTCCGCAGTCACTGCCTCCGCCGCCGATTCCGCAGTCACTGCCTCCGCCGCCGTGCTCAACCACCGTGGAACAGGAGACGGTGACGATTTTGGGAGAATCAAACGGCTAATCAATCTCATTATCGTCATTTTCGTCGCGCCTCTATCAAGGGGAAGTGCGAAAAGGGTTTAGAGCCGGATATTTTATATTTCAGTGAGCTGAGATTCTGGATGTGCCGTGCGGCCCGTGCCCTAGTGTAGGAAAAAGTACGGGAAAAATGCAATGTTGTTTTGATACCCAATTATTCTTCTTTTCATCTTTTATACGAAATGATACGGTCTCGTTCCAATACTATCCCGTTGGGTATTTTAACCATTCGATACACATCTATTTAGTATAAGATAGTTGATCCAACGGTTAATACACACGACGAAATGATACCGTAATAGGACCATAACATTTCTGACTCTTTCTATTCATTTAATCACTATTTTTATACCAGACTCATCCAGAGGCGAAATTTTATGTGCGTATTTAATGCAATACACATATCAATACACCATTTGTGCTTCCTCGTAGTTGACCCAGCCCTCGGGGGTAACTTTGTAACCATATTTTCATGTCATCAACAAACGAAAACTACGAACATAACAAAAGACGAGTGTCGAATTTAAGTTAATTATAATAAATCCTTAAGCATTAAAACGTGCGCGATTACAGCTACAAACTTGGAAGGCAATCTGAAACAGCTAGAAATTACAGAGCCATAAAAGCAAACATGGACACATCCTGATAACTAAAAATTTAACTAGGCGGAATATTGTTGCTTGCCTAACAATATACACAAAGCTAATCGATTTAACCACGAGCTGCTCTGAGAAAGTTGTCGTAAGGGCTCGCTGGTGGCAACCTCAGAGCTAGCCAAGTGTTTGTGGACGGCGGCACAGACTCTACAACTGGTCCGCCGCAGGATGTCTGTAAGGAAAAAGAAAAAAAATTAAGGGAAATTAAAAAATAAAAATAAAAATAAACGAGTTTCAGTACAAAAATGGAAAGTAAGGGGTGAATATGTCGAAAATACTACGTAACCTGGTTGCATTTATCCATTATTAAATATTTTATGTATATGTATCTTTCTTTCGAGTTATTAGAAAATGAAAACTCCCATGGGGTTTGAAGCTGACCTTTTCGATTCCTGTGGCGGAAAATGAAGGAGAGACGAGGCCGTTAGTTTTGGGGCAGGGGATATTATCGTGGGCCAGCCAATTAGAAAGCTTCTTTCTGGAGTCGGTGCCAAATGTCTCACACTGGTTCGTGATAGCGCTGTATGGAAGTGGTGATGTGGACACGGATGATCCCGCCACTTGTCCCGCAACCTCAAGTGCCTGAAAAAGAAACATTATTTTTCTTGTTTTTTTTTTCTTACTAGGTCAGGTTTTTGCTGTAAGAAAATAGAAAGAATTTGCTCATTGATGTGACGGAAATTGAAAACCATGTTACGTTAGCCCTACTGATACGATGTCTGGCAAAAATATGCGGAAAAAAAAAAGAAGGGAAGGGCTATTACCGATTCTAGCAGCTGGCCAATGCTGACAATATGGGACATTGAAGGAGAAGGAGAAGCAGGAACCTTTGGTATGAAACGAGTTATATCAGCAACTGATGATATGCTCATAGCATCATCTTCAACTAACGAATTTGCCGAAAACTCCTGTATCAATCATAATGATTAATATCTAAACATATTTTATGTAGTCACTCAAAAACCAAAACCGTACGATCATTTGTCTTAAAGGAAAAAAATTAAATAAAATGATTGCAAACACTCCAAAGAAAACTAACCCCATCAAAAGATTGTGATCCCTTAGAGTGTGCAGCCCTTTGGAAGTGATCCATGTCGACTATAGATTGCGCGCCGAACATAAAAACTTCATCCGGTACAAATCCCTCCATTAGCTGCTTAGCAATGTCTTCCGACTCATACTAGTAACGAATGAAAAACAAATTAATATATAAAAATAAAAACAAACTTTATAATAATCGCTTTTCCTTCTAATGTAACAATTACAAATAAGTTATACCTTTGTAATGGTTGACAAACTTTCAACTAATAAGGAAAGCACGACTTTATCAGACTCTTGAGACTTGCTTCGCAAACTGACCAGGGTCAACAAAGCCTCTTCGTTATCGGACGCAGAGCCGTAATCTTTCACTTCGGATTGAGACTTTAGATAGACTTGAAAGTCGTCACTTATGCCGACATGTGGGTCCACCTAAATTCATTCAAAATAATAGTTGTAGAGAATTGAAAACTTACGTATAGTTAGGAAAAAGTAAAATGGTGGACAAATACAAAACGGTCAACTATATTTCGGATAAAAACTAATTAATAAATCTTTCCGAATTTCAAGTGATCAAATCTCTAAGCATTAAAAAAGGGAAACAAGTATAAATAATGTGGATGGGGAAAACAAACAATGTATCTAAATACTTACATCAGAATCAACCAACAAGTTGAGCAGATTACAAGTCTCGGCAATATGATATAGCTTAGCAGCAAACGTTATCATTGCAGTCGATAGTACAAGAAGTGACCTCCGATAAGCTGGAGGCGAAGACCCTGTAATTATAGAAGAATGCATCAAAATTGAAATTTTACTTAAAAAACGTGAGAAAAAGTTCATTGGTAACAGTTCAAACCATGATTGGAGTCCAAGGCAATCGTTCTTATCGACAAGGGAAGCTGAAAAAACCTGAGTATCAGAGTATCATTCAAGCTCTGCAACCAAAGCAAGCGGGAGATCATTTCACGGGCCAGAAATAAAATAACAGAAATAAAGAACCCAGGTTTTGTATAAAAAGATACCAAAACTTGTAGCATATATCTAAAGATGGGGCATGGAACTTGTGTTCACAACAAAACTAAATAAATAAACATTAATTATAATAGTATTCGTAAAAAAACATTCTACAAGGCAGAATTTAGTCCACAATAAAAAGATAATTTGTCAAGTAAATCAATAACAATAATAATAAATTAAATTAAGAGGATGGTGAGTAGTCTATAAGCCCGGGAAACATACAGAACACACCCACATACAAGACATGAATTGAAGTAAGAACCTTAAGCCGACAAGAAATAAGTGCTAAACAGAATGACTGTGCAATAGCTTCGATATTAGCAGGCAGGTTATCAGGTAGATTGACTTCTATCCATAAGGCTGAAAGCAACTGTGACATTTGATCCTCATTGCATTGCAAAAAATTCTGTTCCTGCAATCAAAAATATAAAACAACTAAGAATTACATAATCAATACAACATGAAAATTCGACCAAGAAAAAAATTCCTTACAGTCTCTTTCAGGATAGAAGGCCCAATAGTCCTGTCGACAATGGAGCTTATTATGTGCATATTAGGGGAGCTCTTGTGGGACCTCCCGTGCTTCCACTCATCCTCAGCTCTGTTTGGCTGCTGATGCTTGCCTTCTTCGTTTGCATGCTTCACGTTAGTTCCATATACTTCTAGACGAAGCTTTTCAAGCAGGGCCGTAATTGAGGAAAATGTTGAAGCATTTTTGGAATGCAACTTTGGATTCTTGAAAGCATCGGTCTTCGCATGAGCGTAGGTTGGGATTAGGAGAACACAGAATATTTGATGCCCTCCGACTCGTATTTCGGCGTCAGAATGCGACAACACTTTCAGGAGTTGAATGAAGAGAGCTTCGGGAAACACCTGAAAATTCTCAAGCCATCAAAACTCATATCAAGGAATTTTAGATACTAATAAAAATGATGAAGGAAAAATAATCGACACAATGGAGCCTTTTTTCTGGCTCGCTTCTCTATTATGCTACACTTAGGTAATTTATTAGGAATACCATCTACAGAAAAAGTATACACAACATTCATTTTATCTAAATTATCAACAGATAACAAAAGGAAATAGAATTTAACAAATGTAGCTCAAGAATTTACAAGGGAACCCCTGAATTTTAGGCTAGATATAAAAGTATCTCAAGAATTTTTCGAAACAGCAGTATTTAAAATATCCCATGTTTTATTTCTTCAAAAGAAAATTTGAAATGTCAGGAAGTATTATTAAAAATCAAATAAAGGTTCGCAGTAGCCAATCAAAAAATCCAAAAACCCAATTACTTAAAGTAATACATCCATTAAATATCTCAAAATGTTCCCTCAAGAATCTAGAGAAGTAGAAATAAATAACTACAAAAATATCCAAAAGGCCACTCGCCTGCTGTGCTTGGAAAGATACAGAAGCCAAGGAAATCACGTGGGCTAGGATAATAAGTGAAGCTATGGCTGCCCTTGCAACAAATCTAACTGGAGAGAGCTTCTCCAGTGTAATTGCCATCATATCAAACAGCGGCCTCACATCAACAATCTGTGGCAAAATTAACCAAAGATTTTCTTTTAAAGGAAAAACAAAAAATGATGAAAAAAAAAAAACAGAAAAAAAGTTCCTTCAGTCATTACCCCTTTCACTGTTTCCAGCAAGCAAGTCTCGATACAAGTCTGCAAATCTGCATTCAAATCCCGCTCCTGCTCCCCAATTGAATTCGACTCGGCAGTTGCCTGAAAACTTTTGCGAAGATGCCTGAATAGGTCACTAACGAACCCCATATCGGAGATCACCATCTCCATCCTGACCTGACGGGCCAGACAGCTGGCAGTCCGGATGATGTGGCATTTTGTTTGAGGATCGTGCACAACATTCTTGTGGTCCAAATGCCGAACGACACCGGCCAAGATTAACTGCTGGTGTCCTGTAATAATGTAAACTTAAAAGTGTTAATTAAGTTGGATCCATTCTCTCTTTACCTGCGTTTATTAAGAGACGGATTTCAATTCTTTCCAATCTCGCATTTATTCATTTTTAAGAGACAAATATCCAATTATACCACGAACTTCCGGACTTTATCCTTCTATCCAAATTTTCTTCACCATCTTGAAACAGACACTTAATTACTACATATCCGGTTCCCCAGATATCTAAATATGCACTAAATAAAAACTAACCACGCGGTCATCTAAAACTAAGTACACACTTAGTTACTCTAAGGTGTTCAATGTACAGAGTTCATGTAACAGAAAATGAACACTAAATGTGAACTTAGTTTACATAAATGTTCATACAATGTGATTTAAGTATGCACTTAAGAATACTTAAAGTAAGCATTTGGTAGTTATTAGTTACTACGTATGCATTTGATAAATTTTGCAATGAAGCCATTGGACGTGCCCGCCTATAAAGCTATAAAAAAGTATCAACAGACACGTGGGTTAAAACAAATACATACAGGACATGTCAATACATCAATTCAAGGATGACTTCACCAGGGATTCATCCGCTGGCTCCTGGCATTTGATATTAACTATGTATTCACAATAGAAACACAAATATATATTGCATAAAACCTAAGCAATCTCTGACTTCGAATTGTATTGCTTGAAATAAAAGCAAACATTTAGGGCCAGGACTTATGGGGTCAATATATACAAAATAAAAAATAAAGTTCAAACTAAACATGCAATAACGAAAATATAAGTATGCATTTCATATATATGCACAAACCTGATGAATAATTAATTTAGGCCTACAAATTGGTCCATATATATGAAAATAAAATATGAAGTTCAAACTCCCTCTATTCATTTGAAGAATGTGAATTGCTCGTATAAAGAGATGGAGGATCTTTTAATATAGAAACATATCCAATATATAAACATATCCAATACACATATATAAAGATCAGAAAAATTTGCCTGGGTTCTCCACAAAGGACGACATGTCAGAAAGAAGAACAGGGGCCAGGCCTTGTGGGGTAGCCCACTGCCTTTTCATGTCGAAGTAGATGAACATCGGGTCCAACACCCTTCGCATAGTAGTGCTCTCTTTCGCCAGATCAACCATCCTCTGGACACATATTTGTGCCCATACTTTTGGAGTTTCCATCTCATCCCTGAAGTCAAATCAAGTCAAAAAAAAAATATTAAAGAGCCTTACGTGTCCTAGAGGCTACAGCCAATACCCAATTTACTATCCAGTCTAAAAGAACTAATAAAAAGCCATTTCACATCTTCACCAGTAAAAAGGAGAGAGAAAAAACACCTTGATAGAAGAGAAGGGTCTTTCCTTTCCAGCCGTATTCTTACGAGCATGTGGGTGGGGCTGAACTCAACACCAACACCAGGCGCACCTCGTCCGTCGGATCTTGCTACTTCATCCACCCAATTATGATGGGCTTCCCTTCTTTCCTCGTCTTCTTCGTTTTGTGACTCAGTCTCATAATTATCAAGGGTAGCATGTACAATCTGCAAACACACCACAAATATCATTTGAACCAAGTTTGACAATATTTGCTCTGTGGCTCTGATTAAATTGCTTAGATTAAAGGCTCACAATTGAAGGAAAAAATAAAAAAACACTAACACTGGCGGAATGGGAAAAAATACCTTTTCTATCAACTCTTTTAGTGAAGAAATTAAGATGACATAAGCAGTAATACAAATTCAATTGATGAAACTTCAATTGTTTGAAGATAACAGTAAGTGTTTTAGAGCATGCATTTATCACATTTATTTTTCCCAGGCAAACTTGCATGCTTCGCTATGCACTTACAATTATTAATAACAAAAAGTGTTCATCATAACTGAATAGAATATCTGGGAAATGAAAATCAACAGTCACTTACACACGTACAAGTAACAACATTGCTATTATAAAGCACCGAGATATGTGAGCACCAAACCAAAAAGTTGAATTTGTGTAGCAAGATATAATTCTTTTAACGAGCTATCATGTAATAGAACATATACGCTGAATTTGTATCAGGAAAATGACTACACTGCAGAAAGACAAACCTTTTCAAATTCCGTGAATATATGCGAGAACTCAGCCATAAACCACACCTGCAGATAGAGAATCAAACCACTCAATTGAGGCATGAATAAAAGCCAAAAAGAAAAAAGTACAAAACACAACAAAATATAGTTATGTGAGCACCACGATGATCTAGGTGTCTTTTAATTCTTAATTAAATGCTGCAGACACACTTAAGTTCTCTAATTTAAAGTTACCATGGCTGAAAGGCATCGCAAGCTCGACGCCCTTAAAACATGCTTTTGATGCTCATCTTCAGTTGAACGTGCAAACATGCAAACTTTGTCAACAAAGTTTTCAATATTGTGTGTATATGTCCCATCCACCTGTGGAAACATAAAAAGAATAAGACAGAAAGATAGTCTGCCACCCATGCATAATGAAATAAGATGACAAACAAACACCCCCTTTTAGTTCCTTTTTTTCACTCTCCATCACTCTTTTCTTTCTAATATTTTAATCTTTCACTTGACGAATAATGCATCTTACTACTGTGACACCAAATTCTTAGAACATGTATATTCGTACAATTATGACTCGAAAGGAATTCTCCTTACTAATAAAGACTCACAAATGCACTTATTCTATGACTTTTTGGCAAGGAAGCAGAATGTACCTAAAATCAAGTCACTGCCTTTGAAGCAGAAAATAAATGATAGTGATAGTCATATATAAAAGATAAATGACTTTACAATTCATTACTAGAGAAAATATCATAGTTCTATGGCCAAAAATCACCTGACAGTGTATAAAAGTAGTAAGTGTATCACATCCAATTATCAAGACTGCGTCCTGCTTAGACTCATCAAGCAGTTCAGTAACAAAATTCAGCAAGTTGGCAGCAAAATATGCCCTGCGAGCATAAGGAGAGAACATGACATTAAAATTGACAAAAACAACAAAGACCTGGTAAAGTAGATCCCACAAGCACTCACAAAACATTTAACCAGACTATAAATGTAAAACAGAAGAGAAAATGAGATAAACTGCAATATCTGCAGACAGATTATGTTCAAAGCTCAATGACAAACATTCAAGAACCATTAATGGTTTGATCAAGCAAGCATTTTTATGATCCCAAATGTAAGTAATTACACTGGGGAAACTTACTTTTGCTCCTTACAAATGCATAGTAATTTGTTGAAAGCCTCAGCAACAACACCTACAAGTCTGATGTTGCCATTTCGCAGTTCTTTGTAACATCTTTCTTCAAGATATTTAGCTATCTAACAAAGCAAATTTGGCAAACAAGAAAAAGAAATCTCGTCAGTAGGGCCAACAAACATGACTTTAGAATTAGTATACACGACTTTCTCACCTTTGGAATCCGCAAAGGGTTTTTTGAGGCATATTCACAGAGCTTTACAACTTTTCTTTCATTTGAATGGCCTTCCTGCATTAGGAAAAAGAAAATATCATGATACATTAATTCAGTTGTCTTAGAGTTCATCTCTCTCTTAAGCTGCATATTTGAAGAGCTAGCATGCCCCAATAAAATTTTTGATAAAAAACAGAATTACATAACTTTTTTCGATTTTGATTGCATCGATATGTTGTGCACTATTTAGAATGATATTACAAGGAGAAATCAACCAAGGAGTTACAAATAAGGACAAGATACAAGATACTAATTGAACGCAACTTAAAAAACCAAATGTTGTAACCGTATCACGACAAAGAAAACTAAACCGATGATAAAGTACATTTATGACCGATGTTTTCTCAACTAAACAACAAAAACCAGCTTAGCATGTGATTCTTCATGTTTGCAGTTATAAATACCGAATCAAGCCCAAACTAGAATGTCAAGTTCCGCGAGAACAAATGCCACAAAAATACAAGCTTTTCTTGAGAAAAAGTGAAGCACTCACAGGAGACTTGGGAAATATCTCAGCAAGCAACTTCTTGTAACGCTTAACAGGTTGCCGAGACCGTGACCTCAAAGCTGGGCAGCACACACACATGCTCTCACATGCTGGGAATATCTTGCGGGAAATTATACCCATTGTTGGTTTCCTACAAACAAAAAATAATCAAAACTGTCATAGTTATATAATGCTTATTTTTTTTATTAAAGCAAATTAACATTACCCTTTGACAAGACATCATAAACATTTTTTAAAATTTCTAATTTTATGTTCAAACCCACAGAGATGAATAAATGCAGCATCACATATTTAAAAAAATTGAGCTAAAATTAGAACAAATAAGCAGAAGGGGACATATGCAAAGAAGCTCAAGAAAACACTTCAAGAAAGATAAAAAAAAAACAAAAAACAGTTGTATTTTGAAAAGGGTGAAAAGAAAAAGCAAGATCTTTTCATCTCAAGCATCGCAAACATGTTCCTATAAGTGAAACACAAATGCTATTAAACACCATAAAAATCATTCATTTATCATATTAAAACAGAAATGGGGGGCCTGATAACATGAAAGAATTAAGAAATTTACAAACCTTTCTCAGCAAAGACAGATCTGGGGAGCTACAGACGAACTCCCACACAGACCCTCCAACTGTTTTCTCGGATACTTTCAAACCCAACTCCAAATTTCGAACTTCAAACTAAAGAAGTACAAGTGATGGAACAAAGAAAACGAGATTAAAAAGGGGGTCTGAATATCAATTTGTTCTACTGCAGGACCAAAAATTGAACGAGAAAAGAGGGAGAGAGGGGAAGAAAAAGAATTGATGACAGGCAGAGAGCGATCACGTGATTTGTCAGTCTCCTTTTACTGTTACTGTTTTCTAAAGAGTCGTACG